TTTCTAAATATTTTGATTTAATTTGATTTTTCTTTTTTTCTTTTATCTTAATCAAGGTCATTGGGCTGGTGGGACAGTGTCCTAGCACCCTCTACTGGCCAGCTGCCGCTGCTCAGTCTATTACCGGTAGTAATTTGGACATCCCAAAGGCAGTTTTCTAATATGGAGGACCAATCCTACCATAAATAAAACTAAATACCGAAAAAATAAATAAATGCTTTCAACCGTCTGCCTTACAGTTCTTCCGCTTAGGCAGGCACGGGGCTGCCTTCCTTACCCGGTAGGCGGGGGAAGCAGGTGGCCGCCTGCCTTAGCAGGCAGGTGGGGGCGAAGAACTGTAAGGCAGGCGGTTGGAAGCATACGGTCACCCGGTTGGGTTTGTTCGCTCCATCCCCGGCTGTCTCCAAACCCGGACAAGCCCTGGAGCTTATGGCTCGGTTCGAATGCCCGGTCCAGTCCAGTCAGCAGCCGAGCAGCCCCCCCCCTTATAAAAAAGGGTCTTCCTTTCCAGAAACCCAAGTATTAGCATTGTTTTTAAAAAGAGTTGCTAAATGCCTCAGCTAACTGACAGCTTTATTGTAGGAAGCCGTGTTTGTTGTAATTGTGGCCGATGGCTGCTAACCAACCAATGGGGAGAAGTTGAGCCCTTAAGACACACCCCTCCTCATTTGCATAATGAAGCAGAAACGCATACAGAAATGTAAATACGACAGACAGAGATAAATAGCATGGAAGAAATAAATAGGGTAAAAAAATACAAAGGAAGAATAAACCAGACAAAAATATTATAACCTGCACATAAGTAATAAATAAATAAAGTTGAAGAATATAACGGTCAATAAATAAATAAGGTAATTATTACAAAGGCAAATAAAAAAAGAAGCTAACAGCAATGACCACTTTACAATTAGTATATGAGGAGAGAATGCAGGGAGATGAAAGAAATGCTTTCACTGTAGGTTGAACATCTTTGATATGATTGTAGAGAAAAATAAATGCAGGGCCTATCGCCAGTCGAATTGGAGTCTCAATGTCTGTGGAGTGACTTCTGGCAGCCAGATGTTCCCAACAAGTCACAGCAGCACTGTCAATGTAGCTTCAGTTCAGAACAGAAAGTCTCTTAGCTGCTTCTAACATCACCTTTCTGTACACCAGGAAGGTAATATGAGAGACACCTTTTTTTGTTGTCTGTTGTTGTTTTTTTGTCCAATGAAACGAGAACCTCAGCTTTTTTTAAGGCTTAATATATCTTTATATTTTGGCTATAAAAAAGAGTAGAGGGAGAGAGAGGGTTTGGGGTTGATTTCCCAGCAGACATTTTGAGACAGATCATAAACATGATGACAAAAGCAAATATCAGAGGTCTGCTTATGGCACAACTATAAAAAATAGAATACACTACAAAATCCCTTTATTGTCCCACAATGGGGAAATTCTTTACTGCAGGAAAAAGATTATAGAAAAAATTGTCACACAAAGTGACCTTAGAAAAATTTTAAGGAATAACATACTAGTGGAGAGTTAAAAGATAAACAGTAAAATACTGTTCTGCAAAGTGTTTTAATAATATAAAAAATTTACACCTGGAGAATAAATAATCAATATCCACCTATGGACATTTTTACTGTAAAGAATATTTGAAAATTGCAGCAACATCAGAGATGTGCAAAATATGTGCAAAAGAGATGTGCAAAAATATAAGGTATAAACTGTGCATAATCAGCATGAATGTAACAACTTATTGGGGTTGTTGGGACAGATTGATGCTCTTCAACATAGTCATAACTTTCTGGAGAAGCTGTGGAGATATAACCCCACCATGACAGAGCCCTGTTCTGCACACCCATATGTGACGACTACAGAGGACCAACTCTGCCATATTTAAAAATAAATACAGAAATAAATAAATGCTCAATAAATAAATAAGCATACAATTAATTGCCCCCAAAAAATGAAATAAAGAAATAAATGTAGGAAGAAATTAAATTACACAGTGAGATATAAATGTATATATCTCTTTTAATTAGCTTCTTTATTTGTTCACCTTTGTAATGATTATTTAATAATAATTATTTAATTTAATTATTTAATCTAATTTATTTATTTTTTGCCCATTATAATCTTCAACTTTATTTATTACTTTTTTAAGTTTTATGTGCATAATAAAATATTTTTGTCGGTTTTATTCTCCCTTTGTATTTTATACCCTTTATATTTCTTCAATGTTATTTTTTTCTGCCTGTTGTTTTTACATTTATGTATGCATTTCTGCCTCATTATGCAAATAAGATTGTATAAATAAATTAAGGTACTTATTACAAAGGCGAATAAATAAAGGTAATTCAAACAGATATATACATATATATCTCACTGTATAGTTTAATTTCTTCCGACATTTATTTGTTTATTTCATTTTTCGGGCAATTAATTTCATGCTTATTTATTTATTGAACATTAATTTATTTCTGTATTTATTTTTAAATATGGCAGAGTTGGTCCTCCATAGGGACGGCTTGTATCATGAATTTTGCTCGAATGTCTTTCTTTATTCTTTTAGTCCCCCCACAAAGCCCTGTGCTCCCGCCTCCCCGCTGTAATTTGATTGGACGTTTTGAGACCTCATCTGATTGGCTGTGGTTATCCGCTACGCCGGTTACGTCGCCGCGTGACTGAAGGAGCAGGTGACTTCTTCTCAGGAGCGATGCCAGTCAGATGTAACCGCTAACTGACTGTGCTCGGCAACGGATATGTCAAAGACTGGTTTCGTTTTTCTTCTAAAAGCAAAGAAACGCGGAGTTAGTAGATAAATGACACTGGAATAGCTGCAAGACACCCGGAGATGTTTCACCGAACAACAGCAGCAATGTGTAAGTTTGTTGTCGGGAAGAGTAGAGAAAGAAACGTCTGCATTTGGATAAAAAATAAAATAAAAAAAAAAGCATTTTAATGTATTGGATATTGTTTTCTTCTCCTAGGAAAAAGACATTTAAGTCGACATCTCAGAGGAAGTTTATGTATATAATTTCTATATATGCCATATAATATAGGTATTATGATATAAGTAGAAAAGTTTGTGGTGTGCTTTCCAGTAGAATAGCAGGAACAGTTGCAAAATTATAGGTAGAAAAGATAATTTTTTTTATATTAAAAGAGGAATTAAAACCTGTCTCATGATCTGGGATGAAAGCAGTTATGAATTAAAAGTAATTTAACTGAATATCTTCTATCAAAAACTGCTAGGTGCCATTGTTTTCATTATAGTTATTATTATTTTAGCTTCACCTGGTTCAGATTCTGTAAATATATATAAATGAAAAACATTATCTATCCATTTAATTAATAGGTATTATATAGAAAAGAATATTCAAGAGATTAATTAACAAAAAATGTTACAGCCCTACGATTTAACCTAATTTATAACGAGACTGTCAGACACAAACTATGAATTAATTAAAGTGATAACAAGTCTTAATAATGGAGATGTGCACGGTTGTGGCAACTACAGGAGTAAAAAGTCCATGAGTTTTGCAAAAACGTAGTGAAAGAATATACACTGCTGGGAAAAATTAAAGGGACACTTTGAAAACACATCAGATCTCAATGGGGGGAAAAAATAATGTTGTTTATTTATACTGATATGGACTGGGTGATGTGTTAGGAACAAAAGGATGCCACATCATGATCATGACCATCATGATGGAAATGAAAATTATCAACCTACAGAGGGCTGAATTCAAAGACACCACAAAAATTACAGTGAAAAAAGCTAGTCTGTTTCGTACGGTCCAGTGACCCTAGCCAAATGCAAAACTGGTTAAAAATGGTCAGAAAAGATGAGGAGGGGGAAAAAATGTCAGAGGCCTCCACCTGTAAAACCATTCCTGTATTGATGGTCGTCTCGTTGTTGCCCCTCTAGTGCACCTTTTGTTAATTTGATTACCACCAAAGCAGCTGAAACTGATTAACAACCGCATTTACTACTTACCTGACCAAATCACTATCCAAGAAGTTTAATTAACTCGATGCTATACTCTGATTACAAAGTGTTCCTTTTTTTATTTTTATTTTTGAGTAGTGTATATATAAAACCCCTGCCGTACAGACAGAGAAACAGGAAGCCGCATTGTGTTTTTTAGACTTGAGAAAGAAACTGACTGTGCTGAAAGATGAGAGATGGTACTGTATGAGGAAGTATGGTGGAGTAACAGACAGGTGGAAGTGTTGCTCCCAGAGAAAAGGTGCGTCCATCAAAGCTCTGGGTTTAACTACTTATTTTAAGTTGAGCAAAAAATGTGACAGAGCAGGTTTTTGTGCAGTCATTTCATTTAGTGCTGCTATTAGCAAGAGTTAAACTCCGACTCTAAAGGGCACATTATAAAGAACCGATAAGAAAAAGGAGGGTTCTAGGCTAAACCATCGAAAGCTTTCACGACCCAAAACAATCTATTTTGTTGTGATTAAAACATGCATCGACTTTACTGAGTGAAAAAATTGAGCATGTGCCGTCAAGGTCCAGCTGACACAATCTCCTTGCTGCCAACCAGCAGCATTTTCTCTACCTAACTGAAACTTGCAGCATAAAAGATCAACGCTCCTTTGTACATCAGCCCCCACGACTGAAAGATGTTAGGAAAATTGGGTTATTTGATGTTCTTAACTAATGTGATGAAAAAAGTGATGTATTTGATCCACAAATTCTTCACTCTTCTCTTTTCTTTCTCCCACAACGGTCATTTCCCTCACTAAGATTTCTGTAAATGGAAGAAAGCAGAGCAATGGGTCATTCTAAGTGTAGCTCTGTCACCTACCAAATACTGTGTCCAAGCATTCACTTGTCATTGTAATATTTCACATATTAAAATCTATTGTTGCTGCATTTAATTGTTATGTAATGCTGTGTTAATAAGTTTAGTTTAGTCTAGTTTAGACGAGCCTCATATCTGGATATTGTATAGCCCAGGTTCAGTAATATTTCTCTTTTTCTCCTCCTGTCATTCCAGATTTCATCTCCGTCTAGGAGGCCATCTCTTCTCTCCTGGAATGAAAATGGCAAAACCCGTCAAAGGGAAGTTCCTTTTCCTCCTCCTCCTGATTGTATGTGCCATTCTTTCCTACTTATACAAGATTTCGCCCAACATTAATCAGAAGACTGTAGCTTCAGGGCTTTGTCCATCATCCGTCTCTAAGCAAAGCATCACCCCTCTGAAAAACACAAAGCACTTATTGGTCTCAGCCTACATGGATCAGAGGGTGCCCGGCTTTGATGTACGGATCATTGGGATGTTTCGGAGAGACTCTATACAGAGCCTGCACTGCTGTTTCTGCTGCTCTGGGGCCCTGGTTGAAACTACTCCTGCAAATGTTTTACAACACCCAGACAACTTTGGGTTTCCATTTGTTACCACGGATGTCATGTGCCGGATCCCTCAAAACTGCAATTCCACACATGTCACTCTTCTGACTCAGCCCAGACCTGAGAATGCATCCATTTACGCTTGGCTTCCTGTAAGAAACAGGAAAACCAAGAGAGAGGATCAAATGATGGACTTCACTGTCTGCATCTCCAATCTGTTTGGGGACTACAACAACGTGCTCCAGTTTGCACAGACCCTAGAGATGTACAGGTCAGTAAAGCTACACTTTTAACCAAAGGGGGAAAACCATGCATAGATAAAAATGTTTGTTTTCTTACTTTCAGGTCTTTCTTCTTTCACTGTTGCTGAGAATCAGGCTAAACAGTTATTAATGTGCCTGTTTATTCATTTTGACAAACAATCTATAAGAATGGGTTTATAGATGGCATTTGAATGATTCAGCAAATTCAACCAGTAACTGTTTCCTACTTATATAGCATGCTTTAATGGCTTCTATCTTGGTCAGATAATGGAATGGTTCAGGGGTTTTTTCTCGGTAAGGATCAAGGTCCATTCATGTGTTGATGGTTAAATACCTCCCAGCATTGTATTGCTCAAGAAGCTAATGCTGAAGCTCCAATGTGTTATAATGCTTGATCATGGATTCGTAGGGGGTTCTCTACCACATTTCCAGAATTAATTATCTAAATCACCTTATATGGCCACACCTAATGGCTGTACTTTGATGTAGAGGATATACATGTAGTAAATACCCTGGGCAAACTTCATTCACACAGTCTATGGACAGTCATACAAAAAAACAAGCCGGTAAGGTACCAAACAGGAAATATGTATGGTGTAGAGCGGATGTAGATCTGACCAATCAGATGCCTCCTGTCAGCAGCACTGGCTGCTGTCACCCACAATTTTGGAGTGCAACAGAGTGTATGTGGAAGGGGTGGGGCATATCTGCGTTATCTGTGACACACAGGCAGAAAACTGGTTTCTGAGTATAAACCAGCCGTTAGTCCTTCGATGTGGGACCCGACCCGGGTTTGAATCTGACCCGTGGTCCTTTGCCGTATATCTCTCTCGTACCCCCCTTCCTGTCAGCCCACTGTACAAAAAACAGGCCACTAGCTGTAAAAATCTAAAAAAAAAAAAAAAAAGTAAAACTGCCTGGTCTAAAAGTTGTCCAAGCTGGATGTAAAATATAGACCTCACGAGAGCCACAAAAACATGTTAATTATGTAAAAATAATTTCCAGAAAGCTCTAATATGGTGTAGTGGTCTGCGCATTTTTTCAGGTCATCAGGAAAAAAAAGGTCTCAAACTAAGAAGTCTCAGATCCTCAGAGAAGAAATAGCTGTCTAAGTTCAAAAGGGCTGCATGCTTTGAACCTATACACCTGGTTTAAAAAGGAATGAACCAAGAAGGTCAGAAATTAGGAATCATTGGCGTGCTTATGTGGCGCAGTTGTTGGCGTGCATGACCCATGAACGGTGGCTTTAGTCCCCGATGTGGCGTTCGGTTCAAAGATTGTTTTTCCAGTGGTAGTTTGCCGCATGTCTGTTCCTTCTCTCATACCCCATTTCCTCTCAGCCAACTGTAAAAAAAAAAAAAAAAAAAAACGAGCCACAAGTGCTGTAAAAACTTTTTTTTTTTTAAAGAAAGAAATGAGAAGTCATAAATTTGGGTGGTCTCTAATGGGGACGAAAATAAAAAAGGTTGTCATCAAAACTATGCAACAGATGTACATAAAGGTAAAAAAGAAAAAGTCCACATCCATAGTTCATTAATGATACATCCAGATGTTGTTCATACAGTTTTGAGGAGAACTTCAGTTTTTTGGGATATAAATTTTCTCCATTAATTGAAATTAAAATAAATGATTGTTTTTGCCTGTTGAACCTGTAAAGTTTGCAGCTAAGGCTAACCCTGTCATCTGATGCAACAACAGCAGATGCAAATGTATTGCTACTGCTGGTCATTACAGGCTTGGTCACATCTAAATGTGTGTTTTTAGTGCAGAATGTTTGTGAATCATTGGAAGGAAGAACTGTGGTAAAATAAAAAAAAAACAGAGCTGTTTTGTTGAAACATAATCCAAAGTTTGGTAAATAAAGAAAATTGTTCTGTCTTTTTGTCCAAGGCTGATTGGAGTGAATCGAGTGGTGATCTATAACACCAGCTGTGGTCCAGAACTTGACCGCCTTCTGCATCATTACGTGCAGGAGGGCTTTTTAGAAGTAGTTCCCTGGCCAATCGACAAGCACATGAACCCGTCCCGAGGCTGGCTCTTTTCAGAACACGGTGGTGATATTCACTACTTTGGCCAGCTCACCACGCTCAATGAGTGTATTTACAGATCCATGGAGCGCTCCCGCTACGTCCTGCTAAATGATATAGATGAGATCATCATGCCGTATCAGGAGGATAGCCTGAAGCCTCTTATGGAGAGGCTGCAAACTCAGCATAAGGATGTGAGTTATTCATGAATGCATTATTCATCTATTTCTATTTTCTATCAATATTTGTCTTTTTAAAATGTCTTTTACATGTTGTAGGTGGGAGTGTTCCTCATTGAAAACCACATCTTTCCTAAAAAGCACTTTGAACCGAGCGGGAAGTTTCACCTTGCTCGGTGGAACGGGGTGCCAGGAATTAATATTCTGGAGCACGTTTACAGAGAAACCCCCGACCGAACGATTTACCATCCGTACAAGATGATCGTTCGGCCAAGGTACGCTGAGAAATGGATTCATTGTTTGGTTTTATTTCAATTTAAATTCACATTTAAAAGTAATCTGCTAAGTTAAAGGTGTTTGTTTGGGTAAAGTGGTTTAGATTGTTAATATAATATATAATATCATATTTGCATTTTTAATTAGAACAGCAGTGGTTCATTTTATTATTGGTTTGAAAGTGAAAAGAAAAAATATACCATTCTGATACAGTGGTATCAATTGAAGAATACAGTAAATTTGGGTCCCACTTTTTTAGGTCTATGAGCTTGATTTGTAGAAATTACCAGAAAAGTCTCACTGACCTCAGCTCCCAAATCCAAAAACAAAAAAAAACACAGACTTCTTTAGTGAGCAGATACACAGAAAGTCCTTTTAATCTCTTCATAAATCCCTTGAAGACTTTTTTTGTTTTTGCATTCAACTAAAGACAGCCCAAGTGATCCCAATAATACTTGAAGACTACAGTCAGAGAATCTGCCCTGGAACTGTCTGCAGGAGAAGATTAAATGATCCTGCAGACGGTAGGATTATTATCAAAGTGATAAGGTTAATCCTGGAGGCCTGGGTGGTATTTTAAAAACCTTATGGTATCTTAATCATCCACCCTCTTTGTTTTAATTACAATCGATCCCTCATTTAGATATTTGAAGGCATAGTGGAGGATTTTTGTGAATTTTGAAACTTAAAAAAGAAAAAAAATGCAGATGCACAACCCTGTACCCTGTCCCGAGAGGAAACGCCTATGAAACACGTGTGAGAGCATGCACTAGCCCATATCTCCTCGTGCACACTCTGTTGCTGTATGTATCGCTCATACAAGCTTACTTTCCTTAAGAAGTTTTGCTATTTTCCACAATGTCAGACTCGCCACCTGTAAGTGAAAATGGGGCTGAGCACGTAGGACGGCCTTAGGTAAACATATCACCAGAATGATTGACAATTAGGAGGACCACTTATTTTGATGATCAACCCGGAAAGAACATCCTCCTCTATACCTTTAAGGTTTCTTATACCAAGCTGACATCTTGCTGTTGTGAATCTGTGTTTCAGGATGGTGGAGCAGACATCGGTGCATTCGGTGCTCAGGTTTTTTGGACAGCAGTACAGCGTTCCACCAGACGTTTGCCGGATCGTTCACGTCCGTGTAGCCCTGAGAAAATCCCTGAAACTTGAGGAGCTCAATGTGGACAAACGGTTGTGGGACTTTGAGGAAAAACTCATTCCAAAGGTGGACCAGGTGCTGAAGAAGTTGGGGTGGCTGTCTGGTAAAGAAAAATGAGAGTTTCTTGTTGTGGTGGGAAGGGAAAACCTGTCAACTATGACTTTGCTTTTCAGGTTAAAGCTGTGACTGTATCCCCTTAGCAGGTGCATGTTTGGTGCATGTTTGGAAAACCTTTGCTGATTGAAAGTCAATGTGCATGAGTTAGTTTTATAAAAGAGGATATATTTTGGTTCGTTCTAAAGTTTTGCACATAAACATGTTATTTATCAACTCATGCCCATTTAATAGAGATCACCGATGGGTGCTTCTTCCACATACAGAATTTGTATTAGCTTAAAATTTTCTTTTTTTTTAAGTATCTTGGTCAGTAATTATTTTTCAGGGTTACTTGTTTTATCAGCTGATTTAAGAATGTAAGGGTTATAGAATTAAATTTCTCTCTCACCTGAAAACATTGTCTTCCAGAAATGTTTTTTCAGGCTTTTTTTTTTTTTTATTCACTTCCTCAGGAGATGTTTTTACTGTGGATTGTTGTGTACATTTTGCTGCTTTGCTGAACTTTGAATGTAAATGGAGGCTAATTGTAGACTTCTTTGCTCTTGTTACTTCCAAGTATCAAGAGACAGAACAGTCAGGTTTGTAAATGCTGCTGTTTACTGTAAACCGTCTGAGTCGGGGCTGTTTTTTCTTAGCATTTGCATAAGATTTGTTGGTTACACTCAGGAAATAATTGCCTCCACAGTTTGTGTTTGGGACAACTGGTTTTCTTTCTAGATTTTTTTTGAGTATGTTACATAAATTGTTTTGGAGAAAAATCACAGAAATGGTTTGTAGGGAATTAAAGTTTTAGATTCAAAAGGAAATCATCCTTCTTAAAAAATACCAGTTAAATGACTTCATACTTGGTTTGTTGTTTTATCCCCTCATGCACATGTCTACTCTTTGCCTTTGTTTGATGGGTATTTGTTAAATGTTATAAACCAGTCTACAGTTTTAAGGTCTTTGCCACTATTGTTCTCAGAGATCTTGACTACAAGTGGATTACCTTAATCTGTCCTCCTGGGTCTCAGCCTGTTATATGGTTTCTATTCTGGAAACTTTTCGTGTTTACTTGGTAAGGGAATGATATGGAGAAAATGTAAAGATTTGTAGTAAAATTTGAATTTTCCAGATCTTTGTTTGCCTTGTTTTCTTTTCAATCTACAAATCCCCATTTCCGTGCCTTGGTGTCCAACTGGATAGAAAACAGCATAATCAATACGAGTCTGTATCCCTGGAGAGGTAAGAGTCAAAATCACTTTAGCCAGTTGGAAGTAATTTCTATTAACAGATTGAGGTGATGCTGCTTAGGTCTTGTCTATAAAACAAGTACAGCTTATTTAGTTTGTGTAACTAAATTGTGTAGAAAAGCTGCATCAAATATTATACTAGTCTCAAATCTACGTAAATGTGTTTAAAGATGAATAACTTACCTTGACATGCAGTTTATCTAAAATCAATAGACAATAGAATGATAACAGCTAAAGAATGCGGAAAAACCAATAAAACAGAACTGATAAAAACTGATACGGAAACAACTGACTACCTTCTTTCAAATAATTAGAGTGATGCCTTTGACACAAGCCCCACCCAGTTCTGGTCCAACATTTCCTAACCTATTTTTTAAGAGGATCGAAGGTTATTAAGGCAGTCATTACCATTTTAGTGCTTATACAGGTCGGCATTACAGAGTTATTTCTGACCACACTGCAGCAGAAATCTGAATTTGAAAAAATACTGATTTTAAATCATCCTGATTTGCTTTCAGGATTCCTCAGTTAGTGAACACTTCTTAGTAGTCATAAGGATTCATGCTTTTATAGGTCTTGTTTCCATCTCTCAGAAGAAAATTAAATGTTGGTGAAATCTTATCTCATTTAGGATTGCAAAGTAATTCCTCAAGCCTCTAGATTTTTGAAGCCGACTTCCAAACATCCATGATTAAACGCGCAAGACAGTTAGAACAGAATGTCGTCTACAATTATAAATAGTCATATGTTCTTGATCTTTGACTTATTAGATAAATTATCAACTAAATATTACATTTTTTCTTACTTCAGCCAAAATTTATTTCAGCAGAAACTACGGATCAATTAAAGGTCTTCATCTTTAATTCTCCAAACAGAGAGCAAGAACATTCATGTATTAGCATCAAGTATTAAAGAAGCTTGCCTTAAATCAGCAAAGTTTAAATCCACACTGTCACTATGGAGCCCTGAAGGTTCACACATGCATTTAGAAGAATATTTTGGAAGTGGGCAGCTGTTATGCTTTCCTTTAAGTTATACAACTCTGAATTCTTTATTTTCTTATTGAAATGAGCCCTCAGCCGACTGTAAACCATTATTTTGTTACTCCCTTTTTTACTTGAACAAATTCTTGTTTTTTAGTATATTTAACTTAAGCCTTTGGATAAAACTGAATTATTTGTGTATTAATTCAATATAACTTAACTTAATGAACAACTAACAGTTTTAACGAAGTAGTTTGCAGATTTAGCTGGCCATGGAAGTGTCTGCTGCTGCATCATCATGAGTGCTACTAAATTCAATTGGGTCTGTTCAGTCTTGCTGTGTGGTATACCACGGTATGAAAAAAATGTTTGCCCCCTTCCTCATTTGCTGTTTTTTTGCATGTCTGTCACAGACAAGTGTTGCGGAACATTAAACCAATCTAAACAATAGTCAAGGACAACACAAGTAAACACAAAATGCAATTTGTAAGTAAAGGTGTTTATTATTAAAGGAGAAAAAAAAATCCGAACCATCATGGCCCTGTGTGAAAAAGTGATTGCCGCCCTTGTTAAAATATACTATAACTGTGGTTTTTAACGCCTGAGTTCAATTTCTCTAGCCACACCCAGGCCTGATTATTGCAACACCTGTTTTCAGTCAAAACATCACTTAAATAGGAGCTGCCTGACACAGTAAAGTCCACCAAAAGATCCTTAAAAGCTACCCATCATGCCGAGATCCAAAGAAATTCAGGAACAATTGAGAAAGAAAGTAATTAAGATTTATCAGTCTGAAAAGGGTTATAAAGCCATTTTCAAAGCTTTGGGATTCCGGCCGAACCACAGTGAGGGCCATTATCCACAAATGGCGAAGACATGGAACAGTGGTGAACCTTCCCAGGAGTGGCCGTGTTAGAATGGCCTTTAGCGGTTGGAGGAAGTAGGAGACTTGAGGCAGAGAAACTGTGCAGCCCCACTGGGTGTTTATTCACCAACATTTAACAAACAAAACAAACTCTGCTCATTTTGGCCTAGGGTCTCAGCAGGCCGGCTGCCCAAAATTACCCCAAGAGCACAGCGACAACTCATCCAAGAGGTCACAAAAGACCCCACAACAACGTCCAAAGAACTGCAGGCCTCACTTGCCTCAGTTAAGGTCAGCGTTTATGCCTCCACCATCAGAAAAAGACTGGGCATAAATGGCCTGCATGGCAGAGTTCCACTGCTGAGCAAAAAGAACATTAAAGCTCGTCTCAAGTTTTTCAAAACACATCTTGATGATCCCCAAGACTTTTGGGAAAACATTCTTCGATGAGACAAAAGTAGAACTCTTTGGAAGGTGTGTGTCCCATTACATCTGGCGTAAAAGGAACACTGCTTTTTAGAAAAAGGACATTATAACAACAGTAAAATATGGTGGTGGTAGTGTGATGGTCTGGGGCTGTTTTGCTGCATCAGGACCTGGAAGACTTGCTGTGATAAATGGAACTATGAATTCTGCTGTCTACCAAAAGATTCTGAAGCAGAAAGTCCGACCATCTGTTTGTGAACTAAAGCTGAAGCGAACTTGGGTTCTGCAGCAGGACAATGATCCTAAACACACCAGCAAGTCCACCACTGAATGGCTGAAGAAAAACAAAATGAAGACTTTGGAGTGGCCTAGCCAAAGTCCTAACCTGAATCCTATTGAGATGTTGTGGTATGACCTTAAAAAGGCCATTCATGCTCAAAAACCCTCCAATGTAACTAAATTAGAACAATTCTGCAAAGATGAGTGGGCCAAAATTCCTCCAGAACGCTGTAAAAGACTCATTGCAAGTTATCGCAAACCCTTGGTTGCAGTTGTTGCTGCTAAGGGTGGCCCAACCAGTTATTAGGTATAGGGGGTAATCACTTTTTCACACAGGGCCATGATGGTTTGGATTTTTTTTCTCCTTTAATAATAAACAGCTTCATTTACAAATTGCATTTTGTGTTTACTTGTGTTTTCCTTGAGTGTTGTTTAAAGTGGTTTGATGTTCCGAAACACTTAAGTGTGACAAACATGTAAAAATAACAGGAAATGAGGAAGGAGGCAAACATTTTTTTCACACCACGGTATACCACACAGCAAGACTGAACAGATCCAATTCAATTTAGTAGCACTCATTAAGATGCAGCAGCAGCCACTTCCATGGCCAGCTAAATCTGAAAACCACTTCCTTAAAACTTTTAGTTGTACATTAGGTTAAGTTAAATTGGTTTGATGTTCCGAAACACTTAAGTGTGACAACCATGCAAAAAAACAAGGAATGAGGAAGGGGGCAAACACTTTTTCACACCACTGTATATGTCAATTATTTTCAGAATATCTGACATTTGATCAAATTAATATGTCAACTATTGGGTGTATTAGGATATGAATAGCATAACTGTTAGAAGAATAGGGATGCCGTAGTTTCTCTGTGTAAAGAACTGGTGGTTAAGAAACTGAACATAGAACTGTTTTTTTTTTTTTCAAACTTAAAAGCTGTTTTGAGTTGGTGTAATTAGCTACTAGGATGAAAATGAAATAATTTCTGATCCTATGTGACTTCTTAATATTTTTGGGATAACAGGATTTCTTTAAAACTATCAAGTCACTATTTTTAGAGATAAATGACACTGCATAGTTACTAATCTTAAAGTTTATATGAGTGAAAAGATGGTTCTGAAGTTTAAATAAAATGTTGACTAAATAAGTCATCCATGAAGGTTGCAAGAATTTATTTTGCCTAGAACAGTTGAGGGTTTTCACCTTCTTCTTCCTGACTTTCCTTTGCAGTGACGAGAATAGATTCTGGCACCAAGTCAGGTGCTATAAATGCATCCTCCCACCTCTAGGTTGTAAAGGTCAAAACTTGGCTCCCTAAAATTACTGGATCACAAACCAATCAAGCACCCTGTAACTAAATCTCAAAGACCTGACTTTAACACAGTTTGGAACTTCAAATAAGTACCCTTCCAGTGGTAAATCTAAAATTAGCACCCAAGTGATGCCACATTACTTGGGTAATTATTACTCAAAGTTTGCGGTTAAACTGGTTTTCTCATATCAAGCAATGTTTTATCTTCCCTTATCAACCTTTGCCCAGTGTTTGCTTAGGTTGGGCCTTTCAGTCTTTTAGCTAAACATATGTATTCCACCAACCTGCAATATAAATATCATTTCCTACAATTTATATATTTTTTTAACAATTTTATTCCAAATTATTTATGGCGTCTGATTTCCAGATGGCATTTCTGTTAAGGCCAAATAAACCCGAAACCAATGCTTAGACACATCTCATTAAGTTTTCCTGTTTTGGGGATATGATGTTCTGAAAAAAAAGAAACCCTTCCTTCTTACCCTTGCTGTTGTTCCTGCTCATTTCATACTGAAGACAAAGTGGAAGGTTATGTACAGTAGATATGATGGATCGAACCTTGAACTGTGTATCTGTGTCGAACAATGACCGCCACGGATGTTTCCAAAGTGTAAGGGAAACATTACAGGTAAGGAATAAAACTTCAATAATTAGTCTTAAATACATTTTCTGAACCAGAAAAATAAACATTTAACCCAAACAATTAGGGGACACTTTCAGACCTTCATATTGGTTTTCTTCTTTGTTCTATTAAAATACTGCATGTTTAATTTATTGCTAAGTTATATATATATATATATATATATATATATATATATATATATATATATATATATATATAAAATAATAATTTTTAAATAATTGGGGAATTGTGTTTCTTTTTTTTTACTTATGGCTTTAGTATTGCCTAGCTGTTGATTTTGACCCCAAGTACAAAATGTTAAGACTGCAGCTCTTTGAAGGTGTCTAGGAATTATTAAATGTTACTAAAGAATGCTCAGTGGGCTT